ACTTTTCCAGTGGGAAAAGCCTTTAAAATTCAAGTATAACAATTTTATGTTTCCGTTTTCCCTTCTTTTAATGAAGTTGCCAATTTTGAGGCAAGTTTGTAATAATTTTTCAGTTAATACCTACCCTCTTAATATTATAATTTAACTATGATCTTATGCTTTCCTATGGACACGATTCAAGGAGGGAGTCCTATGGCTGTCATCCAAGCCCTAGATAATAGTTTTCCAGTGGCAACAGCCTTTAAAATTCAAGTATAATAATTTACTTTTTTCGAAGTAGATGTCCATTTAAACTAAATTTTTTTATTTCACTTATTGATTTTAGCATTTATATACAGCATCGGCTAATGAACACTTTCCAATACGCTTGGCTAGAATCGAAAATAAAACTAAAGAGTTAGCGCATTAGTTCGATCAGGAAACGAATAATATGAATGTTGCCTTGTGTGCTGTGTAATATGAACAGGCACACGGTGTGATGCATCCCCACGTAGCCGGCTGGCTACGTTCATAGTATTCTATTCCTTCTCCCACTAATGCTAACTCTTTGTAGTTTTTACTTGGACATTAGCAAAACGTATTGTACAACATTCGATAGCTGCCACTGTATTATCACAAACATCTCTTAATAACTAAATGATTTCATTTAATAGTTTCTTTTTTCTTTTTTTTTCAGTAAAATGGATATGGCTAGAGTTATCTTCGTCTTTAAAATATATTAAATAAGTTTTATAATTTTTCAAATAAAATACTTTATACAATGTTTTGTTTTTTTTACCAGAGCCAATTTTTTTTCAGATCTAACCTCTATAGGTAAAAAATAAGTGATTTAGGTAAAATTGAAAAGTATATTACATGTTCTTTTAAATGTGTTGTTAATACAAATGCTGCTCTTATTTTAATAGCTAATAATAAAAGAATTAGTATTATTTTTAGCTATCAAAATAAAAATAGCGCCTGGATTTACAGCTCGTTTAATCGAACATGCAATATACTTCTCAATAATTATTGCCGAATGAATATATTTAAAAATTCCCGCCATTCCGCGGCTGAAAATTTACAATTTTGGCGGGAAATTTAAATTTCGCCTTTAAATTATATTTGAATTTACCGCCATATCGAGTTAGTTGAGCGGCCAGACACAGACGCATTCTTGCGCTGCAAACTTAGTGCCAACTCTTTAACAAGTGAGATGCACTACTATAGGGGATATATTGTGCATAGATAAACTAATATATTAATTTATCTATGGAGCGAAATGTCAAAATACACCGTTCATACGTGCCACTCGAGAGCGCTACCAGATCGATCAGGTAGCATGTGGCGCGGATGAACGCAGCCAACGATTAGTTTGATTTTTTTTATGGAAATATTTTTTTGTCAATATTAATGGTTGGATTATTAAAAAAAAAACATACTTATGTGAAAAACCAAATAATCATAATCTTGTTTTAAAATAATTTAAAATTCTCTATTTTTTGAGCTACAATCAACATCGAGAAATAAAAGTAAAATAATCGATGTTTTTTGACAATCGATTCACTGGATTCACTTAACCCTGCACCATGGAGGAAGGATTATTAAGAGTTGCCGTTTCTTTGTAGAAATTTGGCAACATGTTTGCTTGCAACGACCTGTGGGGTGGAGGAGTAGAACTAATCTTACTCTGTCGGTAATGTAGTTACCAGCAGTATTACCATCAACTCTTACTCTGTCGGTAATGCAGTTACCCGTAATTTTATATTTAATTTGAAAATTGGCGGGTTTTTTTAAAGGAGAATTTACTTTTGCAATTATTTTCTAACTAATTCGAAATATAGCCATACAAAATTTTGATAGTAATTTTTTTAAATTTTTTAGTGAAATAAAAAACATGTACGTGTAGCTAAAATATGTTCCTCTGGAGCCAACTTTTCAATATTTAATCAAATTTTGATGGCAACAAATCGAAAAATTTTGTTTTTATAAAGATTTCAAAAATTGAGAAAATAATTAAATCAAATTTCGGAATAGTGGCTCCAGAAAAACAGACATTTCACTTTTACCTGAAGGTATATATTTTTCATTCACTAAAAAGTAAAATTAAACTATAGAAATATTTGTGGCTCTATTTCGTATTGTTTAGAAAAAGATAATTGCTTAAGTAAATTTTCCTCTTAATTATAATTAAAATTTTCCTTTTTTATTAGCTGTTTGCAATAATTATAAAAATGTAAAATTCTATGACAAATAATTATGAGGGATAAAATAAATATCATACAAAGTTTTATATAATTATATTTACTAAAAATTCCCAAGAAAAATAAATAAAAAATATATCAAAGAGATGGCAATACAAAAAAATATTTTTCATATACTTCACCCCCATACAAGCGAGCTTATGCGAAGCAAGAATGTCTATTATTATTATTATTATTTACTATGGCGCTCCCGGACGTCTTATAAATGATTATTTAAGAAAGTTACTCTAATATCACAAACATTACATTACTATTTCGGTACGTTAACTATCTTTGGCTAACAAAAATCAGAAATTGCATAACAAATAATTAATTTACTTGATATGAAAACTTATGCCTAAGTAAATAAATTTTTAAAATAAACGAAAAACAAAACAACAAATTCTTCTTGAATCTTAGGAAATCAGACAAAAGCAACCATCCATATAAACTGAAACAGAAAAAAATTAAATGCAGTAATTTCAAATCATTTTGTTTGTCTTTTAGACATTGCAGCAGCCCTCATACTATCATTATAATACTTTCTTATTATTAATAGTAGACAAGTTTCAACTAAATGAGAAAAGACGTCTGTTTTATGTTCTTTTATATGTAAACCAGAGATGGCTTGTGGCCTAGTCTGTGAGGAAGCTGGCTCATCCTATATACTTTATACAAATATATATTTCTATTAGAATACAATGTAATATTTCTGCTTTTTGAATTCTTATAGACATATATTTTTATTAAGTATACAGGGTGTGCCTTTTAAAAGTAGTCTCCTCATAGACTAGGCCACGAGTCGCCTCTGATGTAAACCATTTAAAATCAACATGGTCTGGCAAAAAAGTTTAATTATTTGAATTATGTTGTCAATATGACCCAAAAGTTGTGAAACTTTCAAGAATTTTTGAAAGAAATTCAATAACATTTCTTTGTACATAAATAAAACGTCTTTTATCATAATTTTCTTTAAAATAAGTAAAAGTATCGATGGTCTTCTAACATGTCTGTAAATTAACTTTACACTCTTTGCAGTCAAAACTATTAAGTTTCTTAATAAACCCTGCAATATAACTAGTGGCCTGACTCAAATTCTGCTTCATTTATTAATTTTGTATATATTATTAAAATTAACTTTATCCACACAGGACTCTGTTTGGAGGTGTGATAACAATATTACTAAGTACTACTATCTTTGGTGTATCTGGTTTTGAGGATGCTAAAGCAAGGTAAAGCAAATCTTTTAGCAGTCTTGAACGATTTGTGTTTGTAAACAATTTTGTATCAAAATATGATTTTCACATAATGTATAATGATTGGGGTTGTAAGTGGAATGTTTAAAATACGACACCATTCCGTTCTTTGATCAATATCTGAAGGAAATTTAAAAATGTTTGTTCTTAAAATTTACGTTTGGAATGGGCCTTATACTATAACAATTAGAAATTATGCGTTTATAATGAATTCTGCCTGGTAGACATGTTAAAGCATCAAAATACCTTTACTTGATTTTAAATAATTCTAAATAACTTATATCTAAAAAAATTAAAGTAGTTCCACTCACATGTTTTCGTCGACAACCATAGAAAAACTAACCAAATCATAACATAACCACACATTTGTTTGATTTTGATGTTATTTGTTGACAGCGCGCGCGGGGCCCGCTATAGCGGGCAGCCAGCAGTCATGCAGCGGACAGAAAGCCACCTTCACATAGTACAAATAACTAAGTGAAGGTATGTTTTTTTTAGTTTGTTGTAATATATGAATTAAAATTTTTGAAACAACACTTTTTGTGTGTTACTGAACGAGATGTTATTAAATTAATCAATGTGCTTTACATTTTAATACAATTTTACTATTGTAAAACGGACTTCAGAGCACCCAAGCGCGGAGGAGTATGCGCAGAAACGTGTTTACGTATTGTGCATATGATATAAACCCCCGTGCCCTGCACATTGTTTTTAGGTTATCTTTTCTCCAAAATTCTTTATAGGAATTCGAACTAAAAAAAATTAAATTTCTACATATAAATCATTTTATAAAAAATGAGCGGTTCCAAAGAAAGGCTCGCTGTTGTCATTGACTTAGCGAAAACTGTTTTTCACTTTGGTTTCATTCCAACTGTTTTATATCTAGGTAAGATACAATCACTATTATGTAGCATGTCTTTTATCATCCTTTCTTATTAGGATTTACAAAGGGCGCGGACCCAGGAATGCCAGAAATTAGTATAGCCAAGTAAGTTATAAATTATCCATGCATAACTTATTTATTATTATAGTTGCTGTCTACTAAAGTTATTTTTATCTTATTAGGTTGGATAAAGGGTTTTATTAAAATTAATATCGGTTATCTAGTAGAATTTTGTTTATTGAAAATTATAATTTAGGGCCTAGCTAATTTTTCAAATAACCTTTATATCTTTTCAGCATTTTCTGGTAAAAGAAGACATCCATCATCTTAGGTTTAAATCTAGTTTTTGTTTACTTTTTACAAATGTTTATAAAAGAGTACAGATTTATTAAATGTACAAATAAAATATATTACTAATGATTTTTTTATTTTAAGTACATAAATATTTATTTTATAAACGACTAGATATATAAGATCTAACAATCACAAGAGATGTTTAAAGCTTTTTTAAATGTAATTTTCTTTTTGTAAACCGGAAATTCTTGCTTTGTGTACAATTCAATTGATATACCAGTAATACATTTATAGGTACCATACAAAGCTATGATTTACATTTATGCTAGTTACAAGAATAAGAAAAAATCATGTTGCTAGAATTGGAACTTCCATTTCTGGTTCATTTGTAGACAATGGATGGTATTGATTATCAGACTGATTGTTTCTTCTGAATCTCACCCATATGTACAATATAAATATGACTAAAAGTGTAAGTATCCCTAGAACCCTGAAAAAATTTTGAAATATATGTAATAAGTATTTAAAATTAAAGTAAAAATATTAGCATGTATTTATTACTTTAAAGTAATAAATAGTAAGGCCTTCTACAATAGTCCAGGCCACTTAAATGAACTGGCCATATTTTTAATTTAATATATCTAAATTATGATTTATATATCATCCCTTCCCTGCCAAAACAGAGTATATGCATTGCCTTCATAATATGGTAAATTGCATTGTACATATAATTACGTTAACTATTTAAAAGTTTACATAGTTATCAGCAACTAGTTTACTATGTACTAGGAGAAAAGTAATAAGTAACCATAATATTTTACTGCAGAAAAGATGAAAGTGACAAAATGCACATTCATTGTTTTGGAATGGAACCGACGATACAATAAGTATTAACACAGAAAAATAAAAACCAGTTTTGAAACAAATATGTAGGGTTTCTTGTTATGTAGGTACCTACCATAAATACCAAACCGCTGAAGAATTCCTGCAACATTTATTATCACCACAACAATATTCGTCTTCCTCGCAAGTTCCAAATTCACAATAATCTGCTATGACCTGTTAATTAGTTATTAAAAATTAATACCAAATCCAAACATCTGTTTTGAAATAAAAAAAACTCACGTCATCTAAAAAAATGAGGTTAACAAATACGGTAAACATTCGAGATGGTACAGTCCGGCATAACGATGATTTGGCCATTTTAAATGTATGCATATATTCCACGATTTTAATACTTTTATAAAATTAATAGGTTTCTAACCATTTTGAACATCTTATCTATAAACAGCGATTCGATGAAGGTAAACAGTAAACATATTTCGCGCATGCTTGAAAATGGTCAATTAGGTACATATAGACACAGAATAATAGTGATTATTCTGTGGTATAAATTAATTTATCTATGATTAGGTAGTAATTACACGGTTGTTTCCACAGACTTTTATTAGGTATATGGTTATTTCGCTTGAACCTCTAATTTTTTTATGGGCTTGTGAAAAATTATTTTGTAAAATATCTACTTTTTTGTACATTGACATTCCCTACAGGATATATTTTATATAAGTAGTTTTTTTTTAATACAAATTTTATTATAAGACCCTACATTTGATAGTCTAAGATCCGAAGTAAGGTCGACCTTCACCCATCTGTTTAATGGATGAAAGTTTCTTTTTATTACATAAAATATATTTATAAATATACCGCAAATGGGTTGCCTAAGAAAATACGGTCCAGACTATTTTTTTTCTTAAAGTAAAAAAAACGATGACACCCTGTAAAGTATTCCCCAGATGCTTTAACTATGCCCAAACTTTAATCAACTCACCGCAGGATGGATTAAAGCTTAAGTTATAAATTTGGTGTTTTTCTCTTCATCCGTTTCTGAGTTGTCTTCAAAATTCGAAATTTGCACTTTTTCTCAAATATCTCGAATTAGGTTCATTTTAGGAAAATCATGTATAGGAACAAAATAATACATAATGACATCATAAACAACTTTTATCATGATTTTTATATTTTCTTTATCTGTACACAGAAAGGATAGTAAAAAATGGCCGTGACCACATTTTCTTAGGCAACCCATTTGCGGTATATTTAAAAACATATTTTATTTAATAAAAAATAAGTTTTATCCATTAAACAGATGGGTGAAGGTCGACCCTACTTACGGATCCTGGACTATGATAAAACTATTAGCTATAGGTAGAGTATGGTTAGGTAATTTTGAATAATGGCAAAGACAAAATTATATTTTATAGGAACATGAAGAGATATTAGATAATACAGAATCTTAACCCTTTCAGCCACCAATCTACATTTTTAATTTTAAAATTACAATATTTCTCAAACAAAATATTCTATTCTTTCAAAAATTTTTAAAGAAAAAAAAATCAAAAATTTCTATCCCCGACCCAAACGATTTAATGTCCACATTTGTGGACAAGATTTTGTAATTCAACACTATATACTTTTTGTAGTATTCTATCCGGGATGACACATCATGTACATCAGAGACCTCCGCCTCATGCCATAGAATTGAGTTACATATTAGATTTCCATTTATTACTTTTTTCTGAGTCAAGTTGTACTTGTTTTTTTATTTTACTTTCATTTTCCTTCAAATTGGTTTCTTGCTCTATTTATTCACCTATTTCTTTGCTATGGGATTATCTGAGTTTTCGGAGTCACTTTGTATATTGTTACTGAATTCAGCTATACCATCTCCCTCCTCAGAAAAATCATCTATTTCTATTACAGACTCATCATCTGCTTGTAAATATGATAGGTATAGGGTTGATTGAAAATGGTGTACACAATGACTGAACGGGTTAATTTAATCTAAAATACTCATTTACTCTCACTATATATTTTTTGTACCTATTATATTCTTGTATTGTTCTCGGATGCTACTTTTACGTCTTACACTGTTGCCTAATCGCACAAAAAGTTTACGATTAAATTATCAAAAATGCAGCAATTCATAATTCTCCTTGTCCTAACAATATTTTATAATATAACTATTGACGTTGTTTTACCCACCCAGAACCCCCATCCACTTCCTTTCCTGTAAAATTAATATTAATTGAAAAAACAGCATATTTTTATTTAAACATCATTTGTGTCATTATTAATTCACACATTATATACCTAGAACTTAGGTGTTTTGTTTAAAATAGCAATACCTACAAGTACCTATGCTTAGTTTTTCCGTAATCGAAAAGGCTCATACAGACATTTACCTACCTTTTTAGGAATTTTAATTATTCTTAATTTATTGTAGAATTTAAAAATAAAGACCTATTATCAATATTATTAAATAAAGAACCTATTAGGTATGTAGCAATAGGTGTATATTATTTACTATTAAAAATTAACAAACAAAAATACAAAAACTTCAATTCTTAATTTCACTTCTTTTTCCCCTTTTTGGCCGTTTCTTTGTGAGGATTTTCAGTAACTTTAGGAGCTGGTTGCCAGCTCAGGGGCTTTCTTCTATAGAGGGGCCATGGAGGAATAGTCAACTAAAAAAAAAGAAACATGTTTTCTCATAATAATAAACATAAAATGTTTTTACTTACCAGAGCAGCCAAAACGAAACCAGCACCTAAAATATAAACAGTTTGTGAGAATTGCTGGATAATGTATCCCCAGATCAAGCCTACTGCACCAAATAATGTTATAATTATCCTAGACAGTTTCTCTGCCCGGGCCTGCCCTTCAAAGTCCTAAAAGATTTTTTACGTATTATACATATATAATAATTATAAGTTATTTTTCGATCAATTTATAAAATAAACTTTAGTAAAAGCATTTCAATTGGCAAATGTTATTTAATTTAAAATTTTAAATAATTGCAAAAAGTTGTAACCATATTTCTAATAATTATTTACAAGTTTTATTAGTTGAAAGAAATTCACAAATGTATAATATTTCACAATTTCAAGAAATAATATACCATATGCGTCGGGATACTGTTGAAAAAATCCATTTTAAATACTTATGAGAATAAAATCACTGTTTACAACCACGTCTCTCTGAATAAAAAATGACAAATTTACAAAAGTTAACGTCTTACGTCAATCGTTATCTTGACACTTGACATAGACCGTCAGAAAACAGGAGCGCGTTCAGATGATTTTACATGGGAGTAGACCCGTGACCCTTGTCATTCACGTGGAACCTCTATGTGCTTTGTAGATGTAGTAGATGTGACCGATGTGGATAAAAAAACGCTCGAGATGTAAAAATGCATCCGATGTGGATTCTCAAACGCGGCATTAGTAAAAAAATAAAGAGATAGATACATTTTAAATTATCTGTTGAAAAAGATTATTCTGAAAATTACAATAAAAATTAAAAATCATGACTGAGAAAATTAATTGGTATTATATTCGGCGCTTCGTCCGAATAGATTACTTTATAATAACTTAGTAGTACCGGTTTTCGGTGCTAGATGGCACAACGTTCAAAGATAAAAAAACTTCATCGGTTAAGTATGCTTACCTACTTTACCGATCCCTTTCACACGTCATAACGTTTTTTGTGCCAAGATGGTATACACGTTCTTTTAGGAATAGAGAAGTTTTATCTCTAAAATTTTATAATTAGTTGTATTTAATAATATTTATTTTTAAGGTAAAATGGGAGAACATAAGAAGAGGAAAAGGTCGTCTTCTATTTCTCGCTCACCCTTGCATAGAAGGCCGCTAACTGCACTGGAAAATATGTTGATTAATAATGATATTGAGGTAATAGGACATAGTGTTGGGGCAAAAGTTCATTAATCACGGCAAAAGAAGTGTTCTGGCTAAAGTCCTTGAACCACAAAGCTGTACATCCCCAGTAAGTTGCTACATACTATATATCCGTCCGCGGCCCAACTAGTGGCCCGGCGTCCTCAAACTCAGTTCATAGTGTTGGGGCAAAAGTTCATTAATCACGGAAAAAGAAGTGTTCTGGCTAAAGTCCTTGAACCACAAAGCCGTACATCCCCAGTAAGTTGCTACATACTATATATCCGTCCGCGGCCCAACTTGTGGCCCGGCGTCCTCAAACTCAGTTCATAGTGTTGGGGCAAAAGTTCATTAATCACGGAAAAAGAAGTGTTCTGGCTAAAGTCCTTGAACCACAAAGCCGTACATCCCCAGTAAGTTGCTATATACTATATATCCGTCCGCGGCCCAACTTGTGGCCCGGCGTCCTCAAACTCAATTCGTAGTGTTGTGGCAAAAGTTCATCAACCACGGAAAAAGAGAGTTCTGGCTAAAGTCCTTGAACTACAAAGCCGCACTTCCTAGAGCTAGACACTGATACTAGCTCGTCTAGGAGACGACCTGGATATTGAAAACAAAAATGGTGTTTAATCCTTACATTGGAAAAAAGTTGTCTTTAATTTTAAAAGATTAGGCAAGGAAAAAATAAATATTTGTCCTCTATTAAAATCCCCAGAAATATATCAAAAATATTTAACTGACATATAAAGTCAATAAAATTAAGTCTGGGAGTGTCCAGTATTGGTAAGGTTATAAATATATTCTTGTCATCTAACAATGAGACATAAAAAATAGTCTGGGAAAACCCGTCGCAGATTTTTCTATAAAATATCAAATGATTCTTTGGTAACAGCTCTGCAAATAAAAATGAAATTGATAAATTCCTGTATTTACTTATATATAAACAGAAATTCTCCATTCAGTTAGGTATAATGTTTGATATACAATAATATATTTAATTAAAATTAATCAAAATAATAGTTAAAATACAAATAATGCAATACAATATGGTTCTAACCCTGGAAATTAATATAAAACCCAAAAGGTAATAGACAAATCAGTCGTGATGTATTTTTACAACACTACTTCTAAAAACAGTCCAGAAAAACTCAGATTTCAATATTTCGGGAAACTGGAGGAGCCTATTTTGCACCAGGGGGAGGGGGAGGCAGAAAAACTGGACAGGGACCCCCTTCTCTGTTGCACAGAAAAAGGAAGATGAACTATTCTTGTCTGTGCTACCCTCAAAACAAATATTAAAGGTAGGTTTAAAAGCAGGGTAATTAAAATGTTATATCTGAATGGAAAAGCCTTAAACCAAATCCCTTAGATTGCCTGAATTGTTACAAAACTCCACATAAACTCCCCACATAGAAATTTTTCATCAAAGATTGTCATTAAAGACAAACCATTAATTGAAAATTTCTTAAAGGACTTTAAAAGCAAGGGTGCATCAAAAAATTAGTTTATTGCGCCCCTTTTTTCCTAGTTAAAAAATGGAGTGGTAAAATTGATTTATTCTAACTATATTTTACCTGACCATTTCAAAATGGAAGATTAAAGAATCGTAAAATTATCACAAAATTCATTTATATGTAAGTACAGTCACTCTGTTGGCTATCTCGATGTGTACAGACTTAAAAGATGGCTATTAATTTCCAAATACCAATTCATAAATCTACAAAATGTTTAAGATATCTTTAATTAGTAAAATTATGAAAACATTTGCCTTTTTAAGAGAAATTGACATTTAGTTGTTCAGTTTACTTAGACGATGGTCTAATAATGGCGAATTCAGAATTATATGCTTTACAAACTAAAATTATAATAGGAAACTTGGAAAATCTTGGATTCACAATGAACTTCAAAAAGTACTTAGTTTAGTTCCTAGCAAACATTATAAATTTTTTAGGGTTAGCCTTCACTGTTGTAAATACTGAAAATCTTATGTCGATTGTACCTACTAGCCGAAGAAAAGAAAATGATTAGTTTCAAAGCAGTCACAAAATTAAATAATGAAAAATAAGGTTTTTTGCTCCTGTTATTGATCTGGTATCTGCTATGCCAGCTGAAAAATATATAGTCGTTTATACATCAAGTCTTTAGAAAAAGAAAAAGTTTTAGCTCTAGGAGAAGAATACGATAACAATTATTAATAATATGAATATCATATTGTAATCATTTATAGTTTGTTGCATTCTATTATGCCCCAAAAATGTCTTGCTCAAAATTGTAATTTTGCAAATATATTCGTGAGGTGTGACAACCACTACCACTTTATATATATTTTTGTAAGTAAACAAAAAAGGACAGTAGGTATCTATAAATCATAAATATCTGGATGAAGTTATAATAATATTTATTTACCATAAAAAATACATTTTCTATTGACTTAATACAATAAATATATTATATTTGCTAAAGATTTGGAGCTGGTGTGAATCAAAAAATTACTGGATTCAAGCATAGTGTACTTATATGCGCATCTTTTCTACTTACATTTCATATACCTATATTTGTTCAGTAGAAAATAAAGCAGATAGGGGTCTACGTGTCAGACTTCTTTGGAGACAATATGGGAGTTAGATAAGTCAGTATTTAATAAAATACGTAACAAGAAAAGATGGAACTCCTCTACTATACCTAGAAATATATTTGTATCCAACTAAAACCTCTGCATTTCCTCCTTTTCCAATAGTCTTAAGTACTAAGAAAAATTATCATTAATAAGTCTTCAGGAATAATGATTGTCTCTTACTGACCAACACAACCCTGGTTTCTAACAGTAACATCTTTTGAGGTAATCGCACACCCACAGATCGGCGACCGATTGGAGAAACTATCCAACAAGGATTTAGTCTAAAAAATATACTCGAGGTAGGCCTAGGTGATACAAATGCTAAACTCACTATCAAAAAATATTTTACAATACAGTTGCCCCCCCTAGGGCATGGCGGTCTGGCCTGGTGGAATTATTCTTGTAGAAAATAAGTAATAAATTTTGTACAAAACGCAGCTGACTATACGAACAAGCTTTCGTTAGTGTAGTTAGTAATATATTTTACTAATACCTAAAAGCTAACATATTGAAGCCGATATAAATGTAAAATGCCACACAAAAAGGTATGTCTAAGTTAAGGCCTACAAAATCACGTTATAATTTTTCTTGAAATCTTTGAAAAGTGTTGGATTATTTGAATAATTTACCAGAACAGTTGTCACTGGAACAGTTAGTCCAAAAGACCACAATCTTAATTTCCCTGATAATAACTGGCTATGCAAACAAACTAATAAAATACAAAATATCGTAATCACAGGTTTGATCCAAATATTAATTCCAGTGCTCATAAAAACATCAAAACAGAAAGATTCTAAAACTTGTAAGATTTGTTGGAGTTGGTAATATCTCGTAGAAAATCTTCTAGGATCTGCATCGCTACTACTCAGCTAGAGCATCGTACATAAACGGTAAAGTACCTATATTAATTAATGAAAAGCTTAAATCAGGAAAACTAGGAATTTTTATTAATTGCCAGTTTACCACCATACTAAAAGTGGGAACCTAAAACATACATCAAATTGTTTTAAGAAAGACAAAGCAGCGACGCAGATAAATAGGTAGGTACTGCTAGATTTTCTGCCTTATTCCAGGAGACATTCTGTGGAAAGCTTTTATAAATTTTTACAACAGGCCTCTGGAAGAATCCAGGTTTGCAGAAGCAATAATTAGGTATTAATTGTTTTACATTCTCATCATAGAATCTTAAAAAAGATACTTTTTCTGTTTACATAGTAGGTTAGATTGTTTATAAAATTTTTGCTTGTTTTTACCATAGGCTTAAAAACAATAGCTTTTGTTTTTCTAGGAAATATCAAAGAAGATACTGTATAACCTTGATACATTTCCTAAGCCTGAAACAATGTAACTTTAAACAGCCTACTAAGTTATTATAAAGTAATCTATTCGGACGAAGCGCCGAATATAATTACCCGATCAAACGAACTTGTGAAGTTCGATCGTAATTATATGAGGCGCTTCGTCCGAATAGATTACTTCCCATCCCATTTTTACCCAACCCATTTGTATTTGTTTCAGGTAGGGTATACATCGAAAAACAAATTTTGAATTGCTTTAAACTTTATGACGTGTGAAAGGGATCGGTAAAGTAGGTAAGCATACTTAACCGATGAAGTTTTTTTATCTTTGAACGTTGTGCCATCTAGCACCGAAAACCGGTACTACTAAGTTATTATAAAGTAATCTATTCGGACGAAGCGCCTCATATAATTACGATCGAACTTCACAAGTTCGTTTGATCGGGTAAATGTTGTAGTTGACGGGTCTAGAAATGCGCATATTCACACCACTCTGCACTGACGTCTAGAATTTGAATTTGCTCAAGCCACGTTGCCAAATCTCCACTCCACTTTCATTTTAGCTTGCTTTATTTCATAGTTTATTATTTAGACAAATTGTAACCTCTGTAAATTAAAATGTATGATAAATAAATATAAAGATTTATATTATATTTTGAAATAACAATTCTGTTTTGTTTTATAAGACAGTTTTAATAGATTTTAAATTTAAATTTTGTAATTATCACTATTGAAAGGTATTATTGACATTAAAAATAACGATCGTATTACTTGAAAATCTTTAGAATTTTTTTAATTTTATGAGATTTTTAATCGATGTAAAAATTGGTAAATAGATGATAACAAGTAAAATAGTTATTTCAATCTGCTTATTCCCTGATTCCAAATAATTAAATATAACCTGGCAACTATGTAACGATTCCAACTGACAGAATCCTTCCTCCATGTGACAGAACTAGCAGGGGTGGGAAACTGGTATGCGCAGGTCAAGGATCAATCAACCACGTCCGCGTGGCGCTGCAGTCGGGTGGTGGGGTAGGTGGTGGGAGTGTAAATGACAGGTGAATATTGATTTTGGGGGGGTGTCATGGCGTCTTGGCTTAAACCAAACGTGTTTATTTATATTGGTGACTTGGTTCTGTTCAGTTGTGTTTTCATTTCCAATTTGCTTAATTGATTTAGTTGACCACTGTTAGTGAGCTTGTTTTTCCATTATAAATTTGTGCGTTTTGAACTGTTATCTTGTGCTTTTTCCGCTGTTATTTCGTGCTTTTCCATAAAGATGCGTAATTATAGAAAATGTTGTGTACCGAATTGCCTTGATGTGAACAACAAGATGCATCGCCTGCCCCACCCTAGGAATGAACCCGATTTATTTGAAATTTGGGCACTTGCTGTTCGTTGTCCAAGATTTAATAATAAAACAAAACTACAAATTTATTCCACCTTTGTAGTATGTCATAAACATTTTGAAGAGAAGTATAAAGTAGTTGGCTCTCGTCGAGGTCTAACACCTGAAGCATTTCCAACGCTATTCCTACCAGCAGTTCCTGGAAGAGTAGCGGATGGACTTTCCTCAAATAACGTAGAAATTGAATATGTTGATCAAACACCTTCTACTTCAAGTAAATGTTCGAAGAAGAAGCAGAAGCAGACTAATAATATATGTTGGACTTCTTTTCGAGAAGGAAAGTTAGTACTTATTTATTTTATACTTATTGCTGTGTTTGAGAATCCACATCAGATGCATTTTTTACATCTCGAGCGTTTTTTTATCCACATACCTATATATAAAACGTTTATTTAGTCAAAAAAACTATTTTTTACATGTCAATACATCTTCACGTTTAAAATATAAAAAATACCTAAATATAGAATCAACATACATTTAAAATGCAATAAAAAATACATAAGATACAGTACACTTACATGTCAACTATACAAAACAATAAAAGAACAAGAAAGAGAAAAAAAAACGTCAATAGGTGAACAGGTATTCATGCAGTTTTATTTTAAATATTGCCACATTTGAAGAACATTTAATATCCTCAGGCAAATTATTAAAAGCCTGTACACCTTTAAAAAACACTGAATTTTGTGTACATTTTTCTTGTTACCTGTTTAGGTTCATGAACATCCTGATTATAACTTAAAATATTTTGTAAATATACTCTGGAGATTCCTGATTTAATTTTAAATATAAAAAGCAGGGAATAGAATAGCAAATATTTTTTAACAGTCAACCACTGAAGCACATTCAACATGGAATTGATTGGTTCCAATCTCGAACAGCTCAGTATTATCCTCAGACCTCTATTCTGCAACTTTTGCAATCATTGCAACTCATTCTGGTTGAGCAAATACAGTATAGTGGCACAATAATTAAAATAAGGTAATATTAAGAGTATTATAAATTATTATTTTAGTCCATTTGCCGAGATGTGGAGAACAGCGCCTCAAATAGTTTATTTTAAATTGGACACATCTGTCCCATTACATTTACGTAAATTGAATCACGTGATCAAAGATTTACTACATCTCAGTTGCATCCGATGTGGATTCTTAAATGCTGCATATACTGTGAAATTTGTGTTTCATGACGTTTGGGGTTGCAAAGCTGTATCGTAGATGTTGGACTTATTAAAAAATAAAGTATTCCTCGGACTTATAATTTTTTATTAATACATTTATTTTAATGAGATTGTACTTATACTGTCTTTCTTTTTTCACAGCTAAAGTTCTTCACAAAATGATGGACAGTGTTGTATCCTGGAATATGTAGCAGCCATCCAGCTACTTCATACATAATACAATTTTCATATACATTACATTTTTTAAATATTGGATTTGTATTATATTTATTCTTTAATAAATTTATTTTTTGAATATTCTTGTTTTTTTTATCTAAAAACTGTTAGCCAAATTAAGATTTGTTCACACAAACTGCATTTTTGCTTTATTATAGTATCGCTATAATAAAGCAAAAATGCAGTTTGTGTGAACAAATCTTAATTTGGCTAACAGTTTTTAATGCCGATAATTTTTACTGTCAAATTTGAATAGCCCCGCGCTTTTCTTCTCTTCTTCTTTTTATTATTTTCTCTTCTTTCATATGGCCTCTTACCAGACAAGGACTTAATTGAAAAAAAATCAACCACGTCCACCAGGTGCCGCTAAAAACTCTATCATCCTTTTTTAACATGGGAGTTACCGTTCTAAGAGTAAGTGTTCTGTGAGAACTAGTCGGAACAGCAATGGTGCGGACTGGCGCATTTCCAGACCCTTCAACTACAACATTACCAATTAATTACTAAAATATATTTTACTAGATCTAATGAGAACAACTTCTGTTTGTAATTTTCATCGAAGAAAAGTTTTTTGCAAATATTCGATTTAAATTTCAGAACAAAGAATAGACATTCTACAACACTGTAGTTTTATTTGCATTTCACGCCCAAAATCAGCGATTTGGCAACGTTGAAAGTTGAAACTGCTCGTGAAGAAGCGGCCATTGTGGTTTTATAAATTTTTTGATTTGTTCGGGTTGAGTAAAATTTTGTTTAATTCACGTTTAATTTAATTTATATACTATGGCTGGTGCTGGTCGTAACGATTGTAGAATATACGTAGGAAATCTTCCCCCAGATATTCGCACTAAAGACATCCAAGATTTATTTTATAAATTTGGTAAGGTAACCTTTGTGGATTTGAAAAACCGACGCGGTCCACCATTTGCTTTTGTAGAATTCGAAGATCCGAGGTAAGATATTTTGTAAACAGTGTATATTTTTAATGATTAAAAATTATTTAGAGATGCAGATGATGCCGTCCACGCTAGAGATGGATACGATTACGATGGGTATAGATTGAGAGTAGAATTCCCTCGAGGGGGCGGCAGCCACGGTGGCGGTGGTGGCGGTTTCAGGGGCGGTCGAGGTGGTGGCGGAGGAGACAGAGGAAGAGGATCTAGAGGACCCCCGGCGCGGAGATCTCAGTTTAGAGTTCTTGTTACAGGTAATGTCTAGATATCATTGCAAATGTGTATAGATAACAATTAATTTTTGCTTGCTTTATCAAGGTCTACCACCATCGGGATCTTGGCAAGATTTAAAAGATCACATGAGAGAGGCGGGCGATGTTTGTTTTGCAGATTCTTTTAAAGATGGGTCAGGTGTTGTGGAATTTTTACGGTATGAGGACATGAAATATGCTATCAAGAAGTTGGATGACTCCAGATTCAGGTCCCATGAGGTATGATTGTAGAATAACGCTTTTTGGGAGAAAATTTTATTTTTTGGGGTAAATTTTTTGTAGGGTGAAGTATCATATATTCGGGTGAAGGAAGACAAAGGTGGCAGTGAAAGAAGATCAGGGGGCCGATCAAGATCCAGATCTTTCTCACCACGCAGAAGGGGCTCTCCTACATACAGTCCCGTCAAGAGAAGCTTCTCCAGAAGTCGTTCTCGTTCATAATTTCTAACTTGGAATATTATGTATGTATAATGCTCTTAATGTTGAACTTAGTGAATTTTACATGACTCATGTTTTGCTACAACTATAATTTTCATTATAATTATTAGTTTTTGATTTTTTTTGAATCAATGTTTGTGTGTTGTACATTCCGATTTTTTTTTAAACGCATTGAAAGCCTTGCCTCAGAAACAAGAGATTCATATTTAGTAATAAAATTTGTTAATATTGAACTGAAAAATAAAGTTAAAAATCTCTTGCTGCTGAGCAGGTTTTTATTTCTAGATTGTAATAATCTTTAGACCCATTTTTAAGATAGACATAAGACATAGGCACTAATGTATTATTATTTTTTTCTGAATATGGTACCTTTGCTGAGCCTGTGTATCAGCGATGGACGATTTGGAAATAAAAAACGAATTAAAATGGCTTACATTCTCTTAAAACCCATCATAAGAGGGAAGAGGAATGCAATTATAAAGTTTGATGGATATCTGAAACAGGATTGGAGGGATTTTTGGATACTTTCATATCTCGGAGGGAGGATGTTTTTTTAGCGTCTCGGATTAACGTGGGATAGGATTAGGAAATCAGGATTTTTTTAAAAAGGATTAGGAACAGGATTAACCTGGAGGATATTCAAAATTTTTCACCATCTCTCTTGGATAGGATTCCTCAAAGTATATTTCATGGCAGTTGTTATAACTTTTTTATTATTAATGAGAGGGTTGTTCTGAAAAAATCATAAAACATGTTAAGGACAAGATAAAATGTATTTAAAACAAATATATATTAACTCTTCTGTATTTATAACAATTCAGAGAAGGTACCTTGACCATGGTGCCAAGAATTTTAAAATAAATATTTATAAAATTTTAACATTTTTGGCCTACTGCTAACATTTTACAGAACAAACCTTTTATTTATTAAGACAGAACCCATATTTTATAAAAAAAAACATGAATCGAAAACATTTTGAAATATAGCTATGAAATATACTTAACCCTCTGGATCATTTTGGATCACCGCAGATTGGATTAAAAGATATAAATTTAAGGATCTTGAATGCATTGGATGCTAAACGTATTCTAAAATATTGGAGGACGATTTTCTGGTAAATACACCTCTTTAATATCCTCTTGTTAACAAATTAAAACATTTTTTTTTTTTTATTATTATTATTATTTCGGTATTAATCACTAGACACCAAATGTGTTTTGCACACAACTTTAGACTAGTAATATTACAAATTTTATTCCGTGTTTAAAAGAAATCACATGTGGTGTCATGTTTTCTAATAAGAAAAAGGCTTTTCATGACTAACTTTGTTTGAAAGCATAAAAATATTTTGATAAAGTTCAGGTCAGTACTTAACAACATACTGATATAGCGATGAATTTTGTTTTTTTCTATTTTTTTTTTCTTGTAGAAAATGGCAAAACATCAACTGTATGCTGGTATATTTATTTTATAAGTTATTGCCCTGTACTTTCTTAAAATTGCTAATCCCAATATTCCTGTCTTAGCTGAACTACACAACTGAACATTTCTGTCACAATACTGGGTATCTTTTTTTATATAATTGATGTTTTAAAAATTAACGAGACTTAAATTACTTTGCAAAAATATTTTGAAACCAAATTAAATACAATATTAGGGGTACAATCATTTGGACATCAATTAAATATTCAAAAAACCAATTGTTTGTATTGGACAAATTGGTCGAATTCCTTGCTAAACCTTCTGATTTAACCCAGCTTCATTGACTAACAAGAACACTAATGCTGTTTTAACTATGTCTTTGAGTACCACAATAAACACTTCTTAATTTTTTTAATGTATAAATTATTAAGAAGTTATGAATGGTTATATAGACCAGGATGGAAAGTGCGAGTGATTATCAAATTTCTAGTTTTTTTTTTATGTGCAAAATTGTAAGTTACAAATCCTACAATAATAGAGCCCACTGCAAATTTTGGCCATCATCTGATAACGAAATGAAATATGCTCAAAAGACAACATTGTACTATACCAAACGGCACCCATGTTAATCATTATCCTTAGCAAAGAGGTTAAAATACTTTATATACCAAAAAATCACATAATTTGTTTTGTCCTGAAAATTACATTCACTATTCATTGTGAACCTAGCTTTTAAACCTGAAATATTATTTTTACCTACCTTTTAAACTATGTGTACCTGTGAAAGGAAGAAGGATGGCATTGAATAAACCATTTGCCACAGATAGTCAATAATTATAGTAGAATCGCCACAGACAAGGAGTACTATATCTGTCAGATCAGGAAATTTCAGGTGTGGGTTCCTATATTTTTTACAGGGTACATTCAAGACCTATAAATTTGACTATTATGTATGCCTACATTAAATTGTTTAAATCGTTATTCATCATTGACTTCTTGGAAATTTTTGATGTCAACAAATCTAATCTAAGGGTTGATCATTATTTTATCATCTTGGATATTACTAATGCCATGGAAAAACCAAAATGATATCAAGGGGGTGGGATTATAAGATGGTTACCTATCTAGGATTTGGTTAGAAGATAAGATAGGCAGATGCAGTTAGTATCTTGATCAGTTTCCAATATTACCTACCCTGTTTGATTAGTCTATTATCTGTTATAGTAAGAAGTTGTGGTTATTTTCGGTTAACAGTGACAATAGTATTGAAAAATGCAGTGTGGTTCAAGTTCAAAGTTTACACCTGTGAAACGTATTAAAAAGTGTGTGTTGTCAGTTAACGAGAAAATATTTGTAAGCAATGTTTATAATTGCCTAAGAATGGAAAATCCTTCGTTTTCTGTTGAGGATACTGTTGAAAAGACAAGTAATATGAAAAGACAACGATATATAAAGTTATAAGTGAATTAAAAAGTGGAGTTGTTAAACCCCCAAAGAAAAATGCAGGTGGTAAGAAAAAAGTGGAATTTAGTGAACAAATTAAAAGCGGAATAAGAAGAAAAGTTCACGAATTTTATTTTAAAAAAGAGAAACCAACACTTGCCAAGGTTTTGGACACAATACTGATCAGTTTTTCCTAAAATAGGAAAGACAAAACTACGGGAACTTCAAATAAGTTCAAGTGGGATAAACAGGACAGGAAAGCAGCACTTATTAATACGCTGGTTCAGTGTGATGTCATTTTGGTTCCACTGACATTTAATTCTTACCAAACTTAACAAAAACATAAATAAATTTGACATACGTTTTTACTGTTTTTAGTCTATTTCTAAATATTGTTTGCAGGTCATAAAAAATAGTTTAAAGGTATGTAATTGGTAACTAAACGATTGTATATTTGATGCATGTTGTCTACTTTAGGAATATATTTATAAAAGTGAAAAAAATGATATAATTTAGGTAAACAAAATGAACAAAACGCTCTCAAAAAATCTACTGCCACTTTAATTGTCAGTGGAACCATAATTACATCATCACTGAACTAGCGTATTACAATTATTTAAGTTTAAAATAGTAACAAAAAAAATAATACATACAAATTCGCCCTAATTTACCCAACCGTGCACTCATCAGAGTCTTAAAAGGTATTAAAATAAGGGTAGCTCTTTGTTACATTCCACAAAACCGGGCGGCACAGGTAAAATTCTTAAGTTCACTCCTTTTAACTACCGGCTCTTTAAAATCACAATTTTGCTCGAGCCGCCTGTGCTGTAAACTCCCATAAAATTTTGATGTATTACTCCGTGTCGACTGCGATTTTACAATAGTAGTTTTTTTGTCGTTTCTATGGCAATTTATAAAAATGAATCGACAATAACTATATAATTAAATATTCAAATCGGCAAAAATTGTTTTATATTAATGGTTTTTATTAATTATAGATAGATGTTTTTTGTGTAATGTAAATGAGGAGAAAGTATTTCGTTTTAACGAAATGTTTGAATAATATATTATTTTCTGGAAAACTTCCGAATATAACCATATAATCGTTGAATTATGTTTTAATTTGTATTTTAGTCTAGTGATTGGCACAGGTGCCATTTGGTAAAGTACAATTTTTTTACATGACTTTCGGACATACTTAATATCATCAGATGACTGCCAAAAATTTATTTTCCAGTTTTACCCACATTCTGTTTTTTATACTTTATTCCGGGCATACTGGGCCCATTCTTGAAATCCTAAGAATTATTTTGCTAAAGAATTGATTTTTCAAAAAGATCCTTTTGAGAATCTTCAGTAAGTAGAAATTCTAATTTCAGGGAATAACAAAAAGTTACGCTTTTCGCAGCTAAATTCCGGTATTTCAATAAAATATTTTATTTACTAGTCTTATTTTCTTTTAATGAGTTGGTAACTCCAGCAAAGTGAGGCAACTAAGGAAAATTTCCTTTTTAGTTAGGTACAATGTTTGGGATAATATAGAACATAATTTTAAGTTTTTTGTTACATCTGTGACATTTTATTTTCATTCAAAAAGTATTTATTCCTATAAATAAAGGAAAATATATGTACTACATTCATTGTAGGTTATATTAGGCAAAATTAAAAATATATTTTTTAAATTTTATATAAAATATGACGAAAGTCTTTTCTACATAGATTATAATATTACTCTCCCTAATTAACCCCCTTAGGAGTGAATTTCAACCCCTGAAGCCGACTGAGCGAAAGGGACGGCTATTATTATTATTTGCCGTGGCGCTCCGGGGCGACTTAAAGATGATTGATGGCGCCATTTGACTTACAGGTGAGGAAAACCTTACCCACTATCATCGAAAACAGTAACGCATGGCGTTTTTTATAATCTGGATGTCATATCAACAGAAATTAAATTTCTGCTGATACGGCATCCATCAAATCCTATAAATGACCATGAAAATAAATACACATGGTGTTTTGTAGGATTCGAATCCAGTGTCTACCACAAAATTGGCTCGCAAATGAATGCTAGCATCGTGGACACCTACGCTACCTTAGTCGACTGGGACAGACGTATGTGTAAAAACGAAAAAATTATG